ACGCGCGTGTACGTACATATGTATGTGTTAATATATATATTAATTTATCTGCATGTCAAATAAATTCATTTATATTATTTATTAATATTAATTGAAAATTCCTTTGAACTAAATTATTGAACTAAGTGATTATGATAACTAGTGATTATGATAAAGATTAATTGAAAAACTCTGATTTAAATCAATTCTTATATGTCCTATTCAAGTTATTATAGTTTATTATTCTTTGTTTCATAAAGCAACTTGCAAAAAATTTTATGAAGAATTAGCATGCAATATATATAATATAATGATAAATCTTTTTTTTACTGCATTAATGTATTATTTGGTAAGCATTTCATAAATTGGCAACAAGTATTCATAGCTGCACACTTTACTAATGTGATACATTAGCAATGTTTCAACTAATTGCAGTACAGTCATTTTCTGTCGTAATAATTCAAATCGGTAACTAAAAGTACACAGTATATAAGGTTTGTATGATATAGTATAGTGTATCGTCAAACCTTTAAATAATAAATACATTCCATATATACAGTCATAGACTTTTCATACAGAATGTCCAAAATCTATTTATACGTTATACAATTTCAATATCTTTCATTTTCATCATATGCAATTAAACAGTTAAACTAATTATATTACTTTAAAATATAATTTAAATATTATTTAAAAATTTAATTATAAAAGTATGAGACATTTATTCTATATAGAAATCAATTTGTAATTTTTTCTTATAATATAAAATGGCTACAATGATAAATAAAAAATTTTAATTTTCTTTACATCTGTAAATCATTTTCACAGTTATGACATTTTTAGAATAAAATTCATCTCTGGTTGTAAATTAGAGGAATATTTATATATTTATAATTAGGAACTAATAATTGATTACTGGATTAACAAAGATGTAGATATAATTAAAGCCAATATTTAACATTATTTATTATTTAATTAAAGAAAATTGAAATAGATCTTGCATATATATATCAGTATTAATTACATATATCACAAACTGCAAATACCTTAATTAATTCTTGCAAACTGTTGCAATATTACGTTAATAATCAAATATAACTGTTATTTCGCTTCTTAAGGACACTCTGTATAGAAGTCTTAAAATTACGAGATACATATTTACAGTAAAAAAGTTTAATTGGTCATGTTTCTATTTAATATAGTAAAGTGAGTACCGCGTTGCGTAATGTTGTCCGTGTTGGCTACGTAGTCGCGTACTTCAGTCATTCAGTTAGTATCTTGCAGGATATTGCAAGTTACTTTTTTTTCGTAATTCTGCGTCAGTCACATGTCAGACGAGGTATGAGTCTGCTTCGACAAATTATTCTGATCATTGTTTCCATTTCTACTTAAGCATTAAGATGTCTATGTTTTAAAAACTGAATATCTTATTGAATATCTCATACTGAAAATGCAAGTATAAGTGTTCCTACACAAATTGTTTCAAGACTAACGCAGACATTGTCGCAATTTGCCATAAGCAAATGAAAATGATCATTCTAGATCGTGATACACAGTAAATCATGGATTGTTTAAAAGAATAAGAAAAGAAATCAACTGAAAATGTATAAAGACCCTTTACTGCTTTTACTTTGATGAATAGATATTTTTTGGTCACTATTAATAATTTTAATACAGATCGATGTACCGATTTTTAGAACATATAAATCCCTGTAGAACAAATAACATTAACATTTAACGAAAGTTTCAGAAATTGAAAGATAGCTGATTAAAATTCAAAGCCTTGTACTGGCAACTGGGAAGAATCTGGTGCAGTAAATTGATATTCTTGTCCCTGTGAATCAATTGAAGGTACAAGTCTAGTATCTTCTTCCTCAGATCCAAAGTATCGCTCAATAATATCAAAGGCCTTTTGATAGATATCCATATTCTGGTGGGATTGTAAGAATTCTATTTTGTCTAGGCCTAAAACATTGTAAAAAAATATATTAATACTATATTTGACTAATATTTGATGTCCATTAATTAATATATCTCTTTTATGTAAAATTTATATTAAATTGACGTTTTACCATAACATTCCTCAATAAGAACTGCATAAGGGTTGAGACCATTATGCATAGTTGCATCTTGTTCTCCTAGACGTAAAATATTTTCTATTCCATTCAAAGCAACCTGAACGATCTTGACATCCATAACTGTAAGCAAGTCACAAAGTGGTGGAATACATCCTTGCATTGCAAGGTATCGGATTTGATCAGCTGTTCCGCCACTGGTAGCATTTGTAATTGCCCATGCAGCTTCCTTTCGTGTTTTAAATTCAGCTTTACTTAAAATTTCAATTAAAACCGGAAAAATATTAGCGTCAATCACCGCCTAAAAGTAAAAGAAAGACGTCATATAAACTATTAACATATATATGGATCTGCGTGTATGTGCGCGCGCATACGCGTACGTGTTACACGCATGGACGTTCTACATATTCTCAAAAGATTGGAACGTACTTGTATCTGTTGAGGATTACCGGCAGTGATATTAGAGACTGTCCAACAAGCTTCTTTTCGAACACTTTCCCGTGGCGAACTTAAAAGATGTAATAGACATGGTAATGCCGAGCAATTTAATACAACTTGCGTTTGCACATCATCTCCAGTAACTATATTTCCTACAGCGCGAAGAGCTGCACTTATTACATTATTTTGTTCATGCCTGAAAAATTTTCATTAATTATACTCTACACACACACACACACACGCGCGCGCGCACGCACACACGCACGCACGTGTATAAATTTTATAATTTTGACATCTTATATAAGGTCCAACATACATAAGAAGTTCCACGAGACGTCTGCAAACACCAGCATCAATAACTGCTTGTATCTTATCATTTGGACCGTCACTTAAATAAGAAAGAGCCCAACAAGCATCAGCAAGTACATCATAATCAGTATGATTGAGAAGATGCGCTAACACCGGCAAACATGGAGCAACCTTTGCAAAAGCCGGTGCTGGATTTTTTCCTCGACAGAGGTTTGATAATGCCCATACCGCATTGCGAGTCATAGAAAGTCGTGTTGCCTTCGATAACAGCCTGTAAAAAAATGTGATATATTAACTGAAATAATACTATTAATACAGCACATAATCTTTCAATTTTTTTGAAGTATATATATATATATATATATAGTGATGAATGAACAAGTTTACATAAAAACTAGAATTATAAACATACTGCAGGAGTGGCGTAAGGATACCGTTGGCTAATACATGATCTCTGCATTCAGGGCTATCTCCTGCAATATTGCCTAATGCCCAGACAGCTTGCTCCTGTACATCTTCAAATTCAGAACCAAGTAAAGATATAAAAGTAGGAACAGCTCCTGCATCTATTACAATACGTGTCTGTTGAGATGTACCACTTGCTATGTTCGTCAGAGCCCATGCTGCTTCAAACTAAAAATATATATTATTTATGTCTCTGATACATAACACAATACATAACACAAATACTTAATGTTTTTATTTCTATATACTAACCTGCAGAGTACAATTTGTATTATTTTTAAGAAATTCTACAAACTGTGGTACTATTCCTGTGTGTATCACCTCATCTATGGGAGGATTTGGCTCTCTTGATAATAATTTTCTAAATTTCTGCGTTGCTGCCAATTGATCTTGTATGTTAGGACTATATAATGCATCTACCATGTCAGATGTTATAATACCAGGAGATTGCTAAAATACAATTTATATAGAAAAAAAAAATTATGAAATAGTATATAAGAATAATAAGATGAAGGTGTAATAATTATATTACTGATTGTGCTGTAGGAAGTGAATATTCATCTGTGGATGTAACATTATCTTCATCCGCAACAATGTTAGGAACATTGCGGCGTTTTGATAATTGTTGTTCACGTTTCTGTTTTCTTAATTGGACTCCCTCTTCTTCTCTGCGTCTCCGCAATTCTTGTGAATCTAACCCTACGTTTTTATAACGATGTTTGTGTGTAGGTCCAGTTGACATCTAAAAATTACAAAGTATATCTATTACATTTTAGTTTTAAATGTTAATTTAAAATGTAGTTTATAAGTTTAGTTTATGAATTTAGTTTTAAATGTAGTTTATAAATGTTATTCTTAATTAAACTTAGATACATATAAGGTGAAATTAAATATAATTCACAAATAATATAATCACAATTAATTTTTGATGCTCTTCATTTTAATTTATAATCGTTATAGTATTATTACATTATAATTTTATTATAACATATATATAGAAAACATTTTTATTTATTTATTAGAAATCATATCAGAATTAAGAATTCTAAAAATTTTTTATTCAGTATGGAACAATTGAAAAGATAATTTATTTATTATGCACAGATTATTTTACTGAATTATGATAGTAAATATTAGAATTATATTTCTAAATTATCTGATATTTCATCATTCACATATCTAAAAAAACAACTTTAATTTTTTTATTTTTTTGCTAAGCTTTATTCAACATTTTATTCTACAATAAAATTTTTATTTTTGGAAAAGAAAAAAATATGATAAATATTATATGATTCATGAAGTAGTTTTGCAGTTATAATTTTCATCGCTATCATTAATATGAGATATAAAAAGAAGTAAAAAAAATGACATATATTATATAAGTATTTTAAAGTATTATTTTAAATATTTTTTTATAGAATATATGCATAGCATGTATGTTTATAAATGTTAGAAATAATTTATTAATTATATTCTTTTTAAAAATTAGACTAAAATTATGGTTACAATCTTTGCTATCAAATCTTTGCTACTTTCTATTAATCTAACATCCATTTCTACCAATGTAAATTAACTTTAATTTCAAGTTAAGTGTATTCTTTATTTTTTCTAATTTTTCGAATTAGAAAAAGAAGAAAAGCAAGTTAAATCAAAATTAAAATTAATCTACATTGGTAGAAATAAGCATAAGACAAAACAATTAAACAATGCTTTTATGCAGATTATTTTAACGAAGAAAATTTGCATTTATGTCCTCACAATTTCGCAATTCAATAATTATTTATATCAAATATATAAGCAACATTTGCAAATTATTAAAGTAAAAAAAAAAGAAAGGCCAATTTTACTCTTCCTTCCTCGTTTAAAAATATCTTCAAATACGAGCATGCGCGCTATACATCATTGTACACACGTAAATTCACTGGCCACTCATCATGTGAATATATAAGTACAATACAAAGGCGGATGACGAAAATGACGAAATTCCAAATAAAATTCATCTCATGGAGGGAAATACGTCTCAGGAAGGGAGAAAGAGAAAAAATAGGAAACAAACAGCGAAATGCGATGCCATCATCGATGTCAATGGTTGTCGCTCTGATTTAACAATAGATTCCGCAGGGGTTAGGAGTTATCGTCAGGATAACTCGGAGCAGGGATGTCGCCTAGAGAAATAGCAAAGCTATCGTTTTGTACGCGCCAATCGCGCACTATCATAAACGAAACAGCATACGAAAAGTTGTGACCGCCATCGTCGATTCCATGGCGCGCGGTCAGTCATTTGGACATTTTGGTATACGCACGGCCAACGCAAATTGACATGGTCTGAAATTGTCTTGAGCTTATAATACATTAATGCACGCGCGCTATGGTGTGTCCGTGAGTGGTCCCAATTAGCTTAGAGAATTGATCACGAGCATAATAACAATCACACTTTGTACTTACGGTTATAGTAGCAAATTCGAATCTCAGATTAGAGAGTCAAGCGAAAAAGATTATACAAGTTCAACGCGAGCTCAGGCGCCGCGAGATCTTTCTCTTTCTGCCGTGAACTACGGATTGGTACCAGATCGGACAGACACGAGTCGCATGATCGCGACGATCACGACACGTATCGAATCATAGTGGAGTCCTATGAGGCCATATTTGCCGTGTATACGTAACCGCGGAATTAATCAGAACTAGCAGACTGCGTTTTTCGCTACGTGTAAATAATTTCTCTCCTGTCCCATGGCATGTAAAAAAAGTGACCTGTGTACATGCGTAACCAATCGTATTTGTCTATTTTCTTAGGCCTGTTCTACAATGCATCGTGTGTTGATGTCGTAGTCGTGAGCCGTAAGAATGGACCAATCATAATCAAGTATTTTCTTCACATTCGACTGTGACTGGTCAATTCTTGTGGCTTGCGACCTTTGATATAGACATGGAGAGGGAATATTGGCACCGAAAGTGTGTCCAAAGTATGTGCGAGAGAGAAAGATATACGAGTGATACTCGTTCTTTCTGCGCATGCGAATTGACAAATACTATAGGCAAGTAATATATAGTGTGATGTGAAGAACAACAGATGACAAGACTGTCATAAATGATATTATATAGAGATATAGTAGTGAAATGTCAAATAAATATTAACATATACCATTATAACACAAGAAAATAATTTTTATTGATGTTTAAAATCAATGAATCAATTTTGTAAACTTATATCTAATATAATCTTTGTTGTATTGAATTGGTAGCGCACTTAGCCTCATAAACGCAAATTAACGTAAATTACAATTATGCTTTTAATAAGTAGCGTTTTATGGTTGTCAAACACATCTTGCTGCAAAATGTGTTCTGTCATTGTGCTGTCATTAAACACTGAATGACAAACATCGTTAAACACTTTCATAGTCACAATTGTCTTAATATTTTTTTAGTGCAAATTATATTATAATTTGATCGAATAACTGCTTCAGAGCATTGTGTTATTTTTATGATATCATCCGAAGGAAAAATTAAATTACCTTTGTTTTTGACAATAATCAAAATTGAGTCAGTCGATTTTGCAATGACAAAAGTTGCACAAATGTGACAAATATATCCTAATAACTTTCAACAAATCCTCTGATATATTTAAGTACGTCATCGACATGGACTGAGTACTGTTAATGTTGATAAATAATTATGGTCAAATATATCAGCAGATAATTGTTTCTCATCAATTTCAGTGAATAAGCTATTGCTTACGATTTTGACGCATGCGCAAAGGCGACGAGTATCATATCTTTTTCTCTCGCACACATTTTTGGCTTATAGGAAATATAGGCAATTCCTTCTGCATGCTTATATGTTCAAATCTTGCGACACCGACACACGACGCATTATAGAACAGGCCTTAGCGCTCTACAACGGAATGCTAAATATCGTAATTTATTGGTTACGCTATTTAAAACGCGCTATTGGACAGGAGGGAAAAAAATTCGTGTTTTATTTCGTACACACATATCTATAACATATTTAATCATATAATCTCGGTATAAGTCACATAAGTATGAATTCAAATTGAATGTATTTGATTTATATTTGTGCATTATTTCGACAAATTTATTCAAAACATTTTTTTTAATCGTTTCAACTATACATCTGAAATTTAAAAATTGATAATTTTATTGGTTTTAATAAAAAAAAAATGAGCAAATGTTGTACCCCGGATGGGCTACGACGTTAATATTAGGGATAGTCGGGTTCGTTAAGCTTAAGGAGTTGGAACTCCGAGCAGGATCAAAAGAATGTAGGGATCTTCTTGAATTCACTAACACACACTTTCTTTATTTTAATTGATTTATTCTAACAAATGCACAAATGTTTGATATATTAACGATTATATTTTATACACGGTTAAACGTCGTCGAGCGACTCGGTGCGTATCGCCCGAATAAGAAGGGAGGGTGTGTGTCACGGCGGGGCCCGACCACGAACCAGTCGTGAAAACTCGTAATTATTTTGCGAAAAATACCACCTCAGCCAGGAATCGAACCTGGATCTCCTGCTTACCGGGCAGGCATCTTATCCTTTCGACTACCGAGGCATATGATATTTATCGCAAATAACGTGTTTTAGAATTAACACGTTCAACAATACAATGATACATATATATATATA